GGGGAGGCATGGGGGCATGTGCCCCCCCATGGGGCAGAGGTGGACTGCCCTCTGCAGGCTGAGGCTCTGCACCCTGCTGCCTCACCCCAAGAGCTCAGCTGTGTGATGCCATTGCTGCCTGCTGGGTGGGTAGAGGATGTGGGGTGCACTGGCACATCCCCTGCCCACCCAGCAGCAGGAGGCACACTGGGTGCATGGCTGAGCTCCTGGGGCAAGGCAGCAGGGCACAGAGGCCCAGTCCACAGTGGGCACCCCACCTCTGCCCTACTCTTCCCCTCCCCACCCCTTTCCCTCCACTTACCAGCTGGGAAAATCCAGAGATCTGGGGGTTGGATCTGGAGATAATGAGTCACAGTTATTTTGACTTTGAAAGCCTGAGTCTCACCATGGTTTTGCAATAGCTGGCATTACTGAGTATATAATAGAGGCTGACTGTGTATGCTCACATGTCTAAAGTAGGCAATGGACCTATAAAGTTAAAAAGTTTTTACTATATACAAGGGGACACTGCAGCTAGGGCCAACAGTTGCCAGCAGCCTAGCTGGTAGCATCATCTTCACTGTCCTCCAAGGGTAAGAAGAAGGTGGAGTACATTAAGTTCTTTTATCAGGCTCAGGCAGGGGTAACCCAAAAATACCCTTGAAATAACCGTAAAATGCTGTTGAGTATGTACCTTGGTCACATAGACAAGGGTGTTGTAATACCTTCAACTGCTTACAATGGCTTCCTCCTCCACAAATGTGTTCAAGTGCCCTTGGCACGGGGAGGATGGACTGGTGTCTTCTCAATGGGTGTGCTCAACCTGCGGCAATTTTCTTCCCATGTATAAATCCTTGAGCAACTTTAAAACATGGCTAAGGCTTGTAATAAAGCCAACTGAGTTGAACTATAACCAGGATATTAATCAGGAGGTTACAATGTTTTGTGTGCCTCAGCACTTCAGCAACACTGTGGCCCATATCAGGAATAACTACACCTGGTTTGTGCTAGCTCCTCATGGGTATCTACCCTTCAGTACGATCTGCAGACCTAATGCAGTCTCCTTTTTCTCACCTCCTCAGATGTTCTTATCTGATTGCCTCGTTGCATGGTCAGGTCCTGGCTAAGATGAAGAAACAAAATGTGTTTTAATCAGCTAAGGGACTTCCTTGATGTAACTGGTTGCTTAACTTCATAAGAATGATTGCATCTCTTATTAGCAAATTAGCTGAAGGTATGAAGATCTTCCCAAAAGTGCTGCAAGTTAAAGAGCTGAATACATTGTCAGGTGCTCTCTCAGCCATGGGGACTTCCCCAATGGCTCAAGGAATTGGAATCATTTCTCTAGGCTTTTTTACTGCCAGCGGGATGGTTTGTATCTGGTCCAAGCAGGTCATGACAAAAGTCACTACTCTCCTATGACTGTAAGCCTATGGAGTATGACCTGGCTTTTACTACTACCTAATAAAGAGGTGTTTGCTTCATAATATTACTGCTAAGCTTTACATGCTGATTATCTGCCTTAGCAGAGAGATCAAACTCTGAATAGGCCATACAGCCTAGGTGGGCTTTCCTCCCAGTGTAAATCTGGTCCTGGGGACAGGATCAGGTTTAGTTAATCTTCGGGTGGGGTTGAACACAGATGCAGGTCGACATTTTTTTACCTCAAAAGCTAATTGAGGTCAAACCGAAGGAATAGCCTAGGCTGACTTCGGCCAGCTCCTTGAGGTAAAAGCTACCTGGCTGAGCCTTAGCTGGGAAAAGGATCATCCCAGAGTAAGGGAAGTTTCATAGTAGTTTCATAGTAGCTAGGGTCAGGAGGGACCTGAACAGGTCATTTAGCTTG